AATCCTTGTATTTTTCTTGTTTTATGTCTCGCGCAATCCTGCAGTACTTCATGGAGTGTGTAATCTAAAACCACTGGCCTAATCTTCCATCTCCGATGATAATAATGATTAAGATTTTTACTTTGTTAATGTTTTATATTCTTTATGTGTCTAAGTATAATTTGTGGTAAGTGGCTTGTAGCAGCAAATGGTGGTCATTAGAGGTGATGATTCACTGCAATCGTTCAATTATAAATATAGGTGGAATTTGGGTAAACCCTGGAACCGGCCGTAGAACTTATGAGGGTATGCAAGGTAAGTTCCATGTTCCAAAAAATGAGGAACTTGTTCCGACAGGTAGGTTCCAAATTTCAAGTGGAACCTATAAGGAAGTCGAAACCACTCATCCTTATTAGGCAACCCTGTCGACTTTGAACCAAAGTGATATCGTTCATTCTGGTCGCGACTCGCTTGCACCGGTTTAAAACTCATGCGAGTTTTAAGGTGGTGGGAGATCATCTGCTCGGCACCAACACCCCAAACGTGGTTTAAATATAGTTTGTGGTTAGTTGATTATAACAGCAAATGGTGGTCATTAGATGTGATGATTCACTGTAATCGTTCAATTATGAATATAGGTAGAACCTGGGTAAACCCTGAAATCAACCGTGGAAATTGTGAGGGTATGCAAAGTAGGTTCCATGTTCCAAAAAATAAGAAACCTACTCCGACGGATAGGTTCCAGATTTCAGATAGAACCTATAAAAAAACTTGAAATTACTTATTCCTATTAGGCAACGCTGTCGACTTTGAACCAAAATAATATCATCTATCCTGGCCGCAAGTGACCAGCTTGCGCCGGTTTAAAACTCGTGCGAGTTTTGAGGTGGCGGGAGATCATCTGCTCGGCACCAGCTCCCCAAACATCCGCGACATGTGGTCAAAGATCGTGCCTATTAGATCTGTTCGGCGCCAACAACGGCCCCCAAAAATGATCGTGGGCGAGCCGACAAGTGTAATGGATGACGTGGCGTTCAATGCTTCTGAGATGGACGAGGTTGACTTTGCACCTCCTCGCCTCCTCCTCCACTTAAACGCCATCATTATGAGAGAGAGAGACAGAGGAGGCGGTCTCTCCACGTGTCCATGTGTTACCTTTGAATGAAGCTGGCATGTGTTTCCCAGAAGCTTCACATTTAAAAAGCACTATACTTTTCAGACCAGGCCGACACCATTTCCATTTTCAGAGTTTTGTTCTGTAAAATACGAGAAAAATAGTGTATTGAAAATTATAAACTTTCTTCGTGATTGATCGATAAGTGTTTCGAGATACTGGTTAATTGATTTATATTCGGTAAAGATCTCGAAACCAAACGAATAAAGAAATGGCGTGGCGAGAGTTACTAAAGCGAAAAGTAAAAAATCAAAGAGATTTAATGTCCACCATCTCTTACGAAAACTTTTTTCAATTTGTAAATGTTGAGATTGAGACGTGCGGTAAAATATCAATTCAGATCCGTCTTTGTTTTGGCAAGGACTATAGTTCCGAAGACTTTTGTCTTTTCTGTAGAGACTGATAGGAAGTACCTTGAATGTCTACAGAACTTGAGGCGATATCAGCGGGACATGATGGAATGGCTGGCTAGGAAAATTTTTCTACAAAGATGCTAATCGCCCTAATTTTGGGGTTGAAAATGCCTTTCGAGTTAGGCACGAGGAAAGCTAACCCTTGCTCGGCTCTTTTCTCTGTTTATCATACGGTAAGATTACCTTTATACTTTGAATGAGCTGCTATTGATGTGGGATAACAACAAGTTGCGGTCGCCAATGCCATCCTGACTTACACATTTGTAAGCGATGCTTGGAAGAGCTCACAGAACAGAGTTAGCAAGTTGCATGTGAAGCCATTCGGATTCTTTTTTCGGGTTTAATTACTACAACATCTATTGATTGATCTACACGCAAGCAATCTTAAGTTTGTGCACATCGCGCACCCCGCATGATGCGGGATTGGTCTACACACAATCAATCAGCTGCTGCTGACGAGTAATCGACTTGTATGCCACGTTTCGAAAGGATAAAGACCGCTTTCCTATCGGTTTCGCAATGCCGGTGGCAGTGGATGTGAGCCGGCCAGAAAAAAAAAAAACAATAAAGTCGAAAACCCACATTGCATTTTTCCCTCCTTTTCCTTTGACGGTAGCCAAATTATTTCAAATGGCTAATTATGAATCCCTCAACCAATAGAGACGGCGTAGCCTTGCCAAAAAAATCAAAAGGCACTTAATACACGCTTAAATCGACTAATCAAGTATTATGGATATGCTTGACTTTTTGGACATGTGCGTTATTGTCTACTTTTTGTGAATGGGGTGATGGGGCCCCGCATGGTGTGCTCCCATTCATCCCCTCTTCCCACCTTCTATCTATTTGTTCGATAGAAAACTTTTTCTCAAGTGAAATTACTTTGTACCCTTTTAGGCCAGCATCGTAGAGATGTTTGCGCTTTGGTTTGGACGAATTTTCAACCCAAAATCCAGCTCATCGACTCGCGGAAAAAACATTTCAATTTGGATCGAATATTCGATTTGCCATAAGGTTTGTTTGAATTCAAACCTGAACTCGTTCAATGACACAAATAGTCTTTGAACTTTGGCACAATGTACAATGTGATCTTTGAACTTTTAATTTATTCAATATGATCATTGAACTTTTGGTACATATTCAATTTAGTTCCAGAACTGTATAAAAATGTTCAATGTATTCATTCAATTAATTCGAGATCAGGGACTACATTACACATGTACTAAAAGTCAAGGGACCACATTGCATATTGAGTAAAGTTCATGGACCATTTGTGTTATTATCTCATTTTATAAATGAGAATCATAACATTGCTAAGTTTAGAAAATGTACTTCTAATGTTAAAAACCAAAAACAATTAAACAAGATCGGAGTTATGAAACAAACATTTATTAGCCGGGCATTTATTGTTTTAGCTCAATTTATAGATTTTAGACAAATCTGTTGTTGCATGCAAAACATTATATTAGTCTTAAAAGCAAATTCTTCTATAAATGAATTACTTATTTTGTGACATGTAAAATGCATCAAAAGGTTAAAACTAAAACAAAAAGCTCTTCGGAATCTATGCACTTGAGAAATTGTCGAAGCAAAACCAAATCAATAAACAATAAACTAGAGATTTTTATTTGATTTGATTTGATTTAGTTCACAAAATGCAAATGTTGGTAAATAAATCCATATGTAATTTTCAAAAGATTTTCAAATTTGAATAACATTGTAAAGTTTGGCTCATTGTTTGCTTTTTTACTTAAGCTGGAACAAATAAGCACAAAAAAATAATTTTCTCTTTCGTCAAATTTAAGAGAACTAATTCGTTTGAAAAATACAGATATTTTCAAATGACTTAGATCTGAGGTAATGTTGCAACGGCTCTAAGATTGACTTTGAAAAGACCTTTTAAAAATTAAATACAAGAAAAAAATTAATTAATACTTAACAAGTATTCGAAGGTGCTTATTAACTTACACTCACTCAACTTTTATATTAAACTTGTTTTTCTTTCCAAAATCATTATTAGCTCACAAAAGTATCTTAGAAAATTTAATTTTACTACGAAAGAAATAAATTTTCTATGAAAATAATAGTTTTTTTTGGTCGAAATGAAAATAATAGTTTAGTCTGGACAAAAAAATGTAATGCATTCGCTTCAATCATTTACACTGGGTTGCTCGGAGAATATCTGTTTTCTGTGAGATACTATTATTATAATGATATGAGTATAAATGGCATTTTCCTAAATAAGTTTTGTCGGTCCAATATTATCATTATCAAAATACAGCAATTTTTGGTCCTCATATGCAAATGTCAAAACCACGTTTAATGCGTGGCAAAATTAAATGGAAAAAACCACGTTTTATTGGGACTCATCCCAGATTTTGCCAAAATTTGTAAATTGCAGCACAACCTTCCTAATATATATTCGACTTGTTTATATAGTAAAATAACGTGAGAAATATGCTCCACGTGGCAAGTTCGCTATTTTCCGTAATTTAAAAAGACACCCTCCATTTTGGGTGTAATTTTTACTCGAGGACAATCCCACCTTTGACTAATAATTTTGCAAGTTTTGGTGGGTAGTGAGGCAGCGCATTTTGAGGGGCTAATGCCGTATAATTAGTGGAATAAGAAATCAAAAAAATGCTTTTATTTATTTATTTTAAAAAAAGAGAGGAAATTTCAGCCTTTTAGCCACCGGCACATAGATTACGACTTATGCTCGAGTTACCCTGGTTTGGCATGTTTTGACCAAATACCACATTCAAATGAGCATTATTATCGGCGGATGTCATCGGCGATCAGAAAAATCTCCACAAGCGACCTCAAGAGTCAAGATGTTCTATAATGATATCGACCATTTCTTTAATATTACCGTAAGACTAGTCTAAGGATAAGTGTCTAGAAAGCCTTAAAACATATTACACGGCGGCTAATTCGGTCCTAAACCTTTCAATTGTGCCAATATAATCTTAAACCTATTATATGACAGGTAATTTAGTCCTAAACCTAACGATTGTGCCAATTTAGTTATAAATATTTTAATGACTTGCCAATATAATCTTTCCTAATTATTTTGGCCAGAAATCGCGAAGCACTGTGTCGGCAAATCATTAAAAGGTTTGGGATAAAATTGGCAAATCATTAAAAGATTTAGGACTCAATTTTGATATAATTGAAAGGTTTATGACTGAATTGGCCGCCGTACAATAGGTAAATGACTTTTCAGATAATTTACTTGACTGGTCTATATATGAAGATCAGCGCACGAATTTCAAGTATTTTCATAAATTAATTTTCATATGATCTTTTGCATTTTCGTTAATTCAATTGCATATAGATCGTGGCATTCATTGGGAGTTGGCCATGTCGTCCGGGAAAGATGGCGAATTTAGGGGCATTGTGCACACAATCGAAGTCCAAAAGTAAAATGCATGCAGTCACCATAATTGACATTGCATTGATAAAATTGATAGTTTAAATGCTGAATTATTGAAAAAGAAAAAAAAAACAATAACAGGTGGAGCCAAACCATTGGCTACTCAAACAGTCTGTACATGCAAAGAAGTCAACCTCTCTCTCCGAATCCAAACACAAGTCAGTGCCTAACTTTCTACGCTGCCTCATGAGCCAAAAACCCTATTCTCATTCGAAGCAACAAGAGGAATAACCCTAAATAATTTTGATGATTCTTGAAGAGGACCAAGACTGGAAAAAGAGGAGAGAAAAAGAAAAAAAATAGAAAGAAGCCCGTCATCGAGTTAGCGCAGCTTCCGATGTCGTTCCGATGAATCGATCGTGTACTGTATTGATTTCCTCAGAAGATGTAGTCGTTGCTCCGGTTGTTGTCATCGGAGGAGGAGGAAGGAGGCCTGGAAGAGACCTGGTGCGACGGGACACCCTCCATGCCGAACCCATCGGAAGCAGCCCCTCCTCCTGACGATCTTGAGCTCACCAGCCTTTGACGTTGGAGGGAGAGATCAGCAGGACTGCTGGTGTTTAGGGAGAGCATGTACTGCTGGTTCTGATGCTGTTGGAATAATTGCTGTTGATGATGAGGCTGCTGTTGCACTTGGTACTGCACGTGAAAACCCGACGGCCCCATGCCCCCCGGCCGGCCGACGCCCGCCTGCCCCGGCCCGAGCCCGATGTTGAAGCTCAGCACGCCCCCCGGCCCGTGCCCGGATCCGAACGGCGCGCTGGGGCCGCCGGTGAACTGCTGCACCAGGGCCCGGAAGTTGGTGGTGTCCGTGTTCATCACGGTGGTCGGGGTCCGCCGCGACGCCCGGGACCTTCTCCGGACGGGCTTCGCCACGCCCCCCTCCGGGCTCAGGTGGCCGGAAGGTCCCAGGTTGCCGAGCCCTGCCGCCGCGGCGTGGTGGCCAGGGGTGGCGACGGAGAGGGCCGCTGCGACGGAGGAGGCGGAGGCCCCGGCGGTGGCCCCCTCGGGCTGTGACCGGTCGCTGGAGACGGCCTCTGAGGCGGCGGCGGCGCGGCCGGAGGGCGCGACCTGGGAGAGGAAGTCCTGCTGGTAGAACTGCATCCAGTCATTGGGGGTGTTGGACATGGTCTTGTTCATTGCCAAGAACATGTGCCCCGGGGGAGCGGAAAAAACCCCTGCTTTTCGTGTAACTTTCGTAAGAAGGAAGGACTGAAGCATGGGGCTGGGGATGTGGTATTTAAGGAGGATCGAAGAACCGGTCAAAGGATCCCAACCCTTCAATTGGGTCCAAACACGCCGATCGCACGTGACTCGTCACGTGCGTGGATGTCTCTCTGCTGTTGCGGGGGAGCGTTTTGGCAGGTAGTGCGAACTTCCTTCTGGAAGGAAAGGGCACGTTTGGCCGACGGGGAAGAGCCTGGTTCCAGGAAGCAACCGTTGCACGACAGTCACGGTGACGTCACGGCGTCGAGTGGCCCCGTCATCGTGGGTTTTGGTTTTTATTTTTATTTTTGTTATTTTGTTTGTTTAAGTTAGGTGACTTCTATGACTCGGAGTCTTCAAGATGAAGACATGCATGTGGTCGTTTGGAAGCAACCGGGCAGCTTCTTGCTTTTGCTGAGAGATTGACGGTGTAACAAGGACATCGCACTTTCGCGTTCGCTAGATGTTTGTGCTTTAGGTCGAGCGCTTTGTGCACTTACGATACTTAAAAAGATGTGAAATGCGGATCACGTCGTTGTCGTCATTTGGCATTTTCGAGACTTTTTATTTTTTAATTTTAAAGAGGTCTCTGTAGACGCTTGACTTAACATGATATCAGAGCCCGAGATTTCGAATCGGATTGTCATATTTTTCCACATCGAATGATGTGTAGGAAGTATAATTTGCATTTTTTCTTATTAGCTTAAGCTAACAAGAAGAGGGTATCTTTTAATTTTGACATCATATGCATCCTTCTTCGACTCATGTTGATTCTATGTTTATCTCAATATGGTAGATACCCTTTTCTCTCTCTCTTTTCTAATAATTTAAGGGTAGGAGCATGGACGTCGGGCAAAATACTTCTTCTCAAATGATTTCTTTACATAAATATTTTTTTTAAATCACACTATCTTTCATGAGGTCGCACAAGAAGGTGTCGTGCCAATTGGAAACCACGCGAGACTTACCGGACTTTATATATAGTATGGAGGTCGTTTGAGAGGCGAAGGTAATTTATGTACATATCTAGTCCTAATCCAAATTCATACATTGAACTGGTGTTGATGTTAAGTATCCGACATAGATATCATGGTTTAAATATACTTTTGCGGGAGAACTATCTAGGTGCTCGCGAAACGCGATGTTCCTTTCCGTACAAATCCGTCATCGTGTTGTTGAGCATTATCATTTTGAAAGGAAAAAATGAAATTAATTATACTTAGCATGTGACGGTTGACTGGTGTGAACGAGATTAAATTCTAATGCAGACAATAGATATTAATGCGACCAGTGGCATGTCATTTATCAATCAAATATGTGCCTCATTCATTTGCGCACATTCCTTAGAAAACAACAAAGTGGACTATGCTCGTGTATTTAGCCACAAACTAGCAATCCTCGGGATTCTCTACCATGAATCCCGCGCCAAAAATCTCTGTTGTAAGATGCACATGTTGTAAATGTGATTTGATTACCTTCATCCATCTTCGGAGAACCAACTATTCACGTAATGTATCATGTCGATAACTTCTTTTCACGCCGGCTATGTTAAACCAACATCGGTAATTAATAAGAAAAAAATTCGATTGCAGAAATCGAAAAAGTCAGAAGACCCGACTACACAAAAAAAGTCAAAGGACAGAATCGACACCAGTTCGACGATCGGAATCGAGCTCAACCCTAAGAGCTAATCGGAGCTATGAGCATATCCACATGCTGCAAAGTTGTTAGCTATGGTGGGTATCCGATGAACGCCTTCCTGGTACTAATTAATTTACGGGAGACATGCGCCCTTTTCTTTGACTGAATTTGTGGACCAAGAAAATATTTTTTTTGACGTGCATCACATATAGTTTTGGCACAATGTTTCATATGAATGGCACATATCATATGGTACCATTCTAATGGAGTTTTGGTTGTTTTCCCATGAACGAGGAACGGTACAAGTGTCGGTCAAAGAAGTACACATACGATAATGATATGATTCAAGGTATATAAATGCATACATACATACATATATATATATATATATATATATATATATATATATATATATATTGATTGATTGCGATTTATATTCCTTCATTCATATGGTTCAAAAGCACGTGGGTTTGACTGCTATAAAACCAAGGGCTCCTCTTTGATTGACCATCTATCCTTTGCTCAATCTTCGGGAGCCAAGCCAAGCCATTGCATTTGATTCGTTGGACCTCCCCTAAATTCCAAAGCGTAGAGGAAGTGTCTTGGGAAGTTACTTTGATCGTGACTGCACGTCTCTTTAATGTTTCTTTTTATATAAAGATCGGCACACCGGCATTGGAATCGGAGAAAAACCTTATCTAGATATGTGAGCGACTGCCTTTTTAATCTCGAAGGAGTAGGTGCTAAACCGTTCTAAAAGTGTGGACATATATATTGGGGAGGCAAATAGGGCTTAAAAATATTTGAACCTTCTGTTTTGATACCATGTGAGATTTTGTGAGATTACTGTCAATTATTCTAAAAGTTTAAGCTGTTAGATGAAAGCGTGATTTAATATTTTAATATTCAATCGGAGTCCTACTTAATATGATGTGCTGGAAACGAGCGGCAGAAACCTGATACCTTCACTAGGGGAATTGCCAAGCAAGATTTCAAATCAGAGCTCGTCAACATATGTAGTTAAACTTACATTCACTCGAAAGTTTAAGCCATTGAGTTATAGGCCAACTAGAATATATTAACCGATCTATACCACACCAACTCTTCAATGTATGACTTTTCTAACAGTATTTTAACACGATGTGCCAAAGTAGTCAACTAAGTTAGGGTTTTCGATTTTTGTTTTTTTTTGTCGATACCTAATTTGGGGTTAACGGCTAATGTTTTGATCGGACTGAAAAGATAGGGTGCTGGCGCATGAAAGTTAACTCGAAATGTCACAACACAGTGCAAAAGGGCAAACAAAAATTGCTGCCTTGGGAACCCCATTGATTATATGGAACAAGTGGTTCTAAACTTCTAACTCATGTTTTGACTTTTGATTCGTGTTATTGATTGGTGTAACTTAACTTGTCCAAAACCCAATTCGTGAGTACTCACAGAAAATTTCTGAAGAATAAGCACGTGAGATTGTAAAGCATCTGGATATTCGCTTGTTATGAGAGGATCCACCAACTCCACCTTTGGATGTCTTGACTTTATACAGCCATGAGATTTCAAGTCATGGCATTTGTCTTTGGGCCACAATTATGCCCTATGAACGAGAGGTACGAACACCGGGGGTCGTGATCCAGCTATTAGGCTCATGATCCGGTGATTACTGGAGATGGCAATATCGATCGGAAACCCCCCCTTTTCAACTCAGTTTTAGCGAGCCAAATTGAATGTGGGTCACTTAAAAGTTTAAAATCAAGTTAAAATGAATTTAAAACATCCAACCCCTAATATTGTATGGGTCTATGTGGGTTTGCACCAGATCCATATTCAACCCATTTTGAGGTTGTCGGCTAAAACTCAAAATGTACCTACATGAAATCAAACTCAAACACGGCCCATGAACCTAATGGCGAGGGAGACAACTTGCCGCCATTGCTCGTCCCTCAAGAACTGCCATCGTCCCCCCATTGGTTGTCTCTTGAGCACCGTCGCCGTCCCCCATGGCTCGCCATTACTATTACTTGTCCTTGAGCACCGTGGCCTTCCCTCTTTTTTCTCTCTCCAAGACTCAAAAACCTCCGATCTAAGGTCGAGGACCTCCGCCGGCTTCGGATATAAGGTTGAGGATAAAAAATTGAGGAGATGGCCCATGTTCTACTTGGGACGTGCAAATTGCAATAGAAAAACGATCAGGAAGCTAAAAATTGGCCGAAAATTAGATTAGAAAAGTAGATGAAGCACGAAAAAGGAAAAAGTAGAGCAACGGACATCCCACATCAATGGAAAAAGGAAAAAGAGTGGGAGAAAGAGAAACCAAAATGGAAAAACTGGGCCAGTAGTAGTTTGGGCTTTGCAGAAGGGCCAGCAAAATAAACATGCAGATCGATTTCTTCTTGTTTATTTCATTTTGTTGCATAGCAAAGGGGATCCAAAGGAAACCTTTGACACCGAATGGGAAGGGGATGCGTACTCCCAAGTGATCTGCATCATCATCCTCATGTCTGTCTAGAGGACTGCAGAAGTTACTGAAGTACAGAAGTTGGTGGAAGAAAGTCAAGATGCTAAGAGATGATCCAGCAAGTTTTGCAGCCATGATATCTGAGATGACATCTCTTATGAGTGTGAGGGGTTTACTGCAGATAAGAAGAAGCTCACGCCTTCTGATTCTATCAGTTCATATGATCAGACGACATGGATCCCGATACTGATTCATGTCTCTGAGTAAACCTTCTCTACCGGGTTCGTCGAGTCCGATATACAATTCATGCAAGCTTGAAGTCCCATTCTTGTTGCTTAATTCTCTCTATGTTACCTGGTAATCGTGTTTAAGGGAAAAGAAGAAGAAAGGCTCGGATCTTCGTGAATCTGAAAATGGGGGAGTCATTCGCTACGAACTTGAAATTTAGGGAGTTTATACAAATATTTTGAAAGAGTCGGGCCCTTTGTGGCAAATTGTGTTGTAATTTTATAGTGAGAAGACAATTTGCAATTTTCTTGCTTTAAAAAAAGGGGAAAAGGACATTTTGAAACCCACCATACGAGTACCATAAATCGTCGCGTGATCCGAATTGTCGGCGTGGACCCCATCGCTGCTGACGAAGATACTAATCATACTTCAAAAAAATTGTAAAATATAAAATGAATTACATTGAGTAACTCTTTTTAGTACATTAAAAAATTCTTCTGATAAGTGATCCTTTATGAACTCAATCATTTCGCACCAGCAGAAATGGCTCCCACAACGTGTGTGCAAAGCATGAAAATGAAGAAAGGAAAAAGATAAAATGATCTAACTTTGAAACTTCCCTTTAGATTTGGCCCATATTGGCTC